GCTATCCATAAGAAATACAAGCTTCTTTCCTGTGATTTTGACCTCTTCCCCTCCTTTTTCTTTATAACTTCATCAATGTACATTACGTCTTTGCCTTTGTAAACCTCGGGAGGTTTGCAATTACGGATAGCAGCAGCAAATTGATACACCCTTTCCTTGTCAATCCCAATGCAACAGACTATATTGTTTTTGAAGCAAAATACATGAACTGCTGGAGGTACGGTAAGTTCAACCTCGTGGCTATAACAAAGTTTGAGGTACAATAGACGGCCTTATGCTTCAGCTCTCGCTTTGAAACCAACTCCAACAATCTTAAGAAAGCGAAAGAACTTGGCTTCCGTTTTAACACAAACACTAATCACCTGAAATCGGGCAATAGCTACACTGAGTCAAGAATATGCAAAAATGAACAATAGATAGAAATAGGAAAATGAAGACATGCAGCATAATATAATCATGGGAGAGTTGAAAGAGGTCTATCGAAACTCCTGAACTGGTGTAGAACATTGATTATTTTATTAAAGTCCAACACCCCTTCATGATACGACAACACCTTAACTACATTCACAGTACAAGCATAGCATCTAGTGATAATTGTAAAAGGGTTATTGACGCAAAACGTCCCTACCTTTGAAGGGTTGTGTGGAAAACATCCTTACGTTTGATTTTTTGGTGCGCAACGTCCCTACTTATCAAGTTTATTGTAGAAAACATCCCTAACTTTCATTTTTTGGTACAAAACGTCCCTACCTTCTGCATTTCTTTGCACTGAACGTCCTTTGCACATTTTTTTTAATTCAAAATGACCAATATACCCCCTACATAAATTGAACAAGAAAAGAAAAATAAAAAAAGAAAGGGTAATTGGCGCAAAACGTCCTTACCTTTGAAGGTGTTTGTGGAAAACACTCTACCTTTCATTTTTTGGTGTAGAACATCCCTACCTTTCACATTCTTTGCGCTGAAGGTCCTTTTCACCAATTTTTAATATAAAATGACCCTTATACCCTCCTATATAAATAAAACAAAAAATAGAAAAATAAAGAACTAATTACAATCAAAGTCCTAAACGTTTTTAAAAAATACAAGTGAGTCCAAAATT